GTGCGAGCGATGAAAGAATTTGCCTTCGGCTCGTTAGAAGGACTGCATCTGAGATCAGGATTCTTTCATGTGCCTTACAAACAATAATCACAGATGTACGCTGGGTGTACGTCATTCTGCCATGGAACCAAGTCAGTGTGCACGTGCAAGCCTCATGTTGGAAAGTTGTGCGGACTGCATACTATAGGCGTCTTGGCCGTGTGTCGTCTCTATGAAGATGGTTTGGAGGTGGTCGAGCAAGAATTTCACTTGTAACACGCATGAGGCATTCTTGCAACGTCGGTAAATGCATGATACGAGCCTGGTTTGAGGTGACTCGACGAAAACTACGTCTAAGTCGAGCCTTGCCGCTGTACTCGGAGGCGGTAGTCCTGAATTTTGAACTCTCTAACCCAAAACCGTGAGGCCGAATTCCTGTGCACAGAATCCACGGAAAGTCTTGGTGCATGCCAAGTATCATCCACTTCTTTCTGTGCAAACCCCGGCCGACTGAGATGTGTCCCTGCTTAGTCTGTGCGCGTAGCCTGGCCCTTCAGCTGAGCAGCTTGGCTTGTTCTGGTTGCGTTTTTATTGTTTGGCAAGCTCTGAGCCTGGGCCCATTGCCCGGGGCCTGGCCTACTACTATACCTGATACGGTAGTAGGAGCGGTGTACCCGCCGTAAGCGGCTGCTGTGGACAATTCAGAGCTCTGACCCTGAACAGTCTGTCCAGTGCATGAAAGTTTCAGGGCGTGCTTACCCAGGGATACAAACACGCAAAACGTTGAAGAGTAATCGACGGTTGAATAAGCTTGACTAACCGTCAAGATTAACGATACTCCCAAAGTTCGACTCTGGACAAAATCGACTCAGGACAACCTTTCGAAAGGACCTGATTGTTGCGCGCCTCTTACATAGCATGACCATTTTTGCATCGCATTGAGGTGGCCGTTCTCCTTCGCAGCAATGAGGAGCATATCCCCTGGGTTTCTAATCTATATTCGTATTAGTCTCTGCCAACAACTTCCGGTTCAGTCTTGAATGTAAAGCTGGCCACCATGTTCTGGCGGACCGCCATTCGAACGTTCACCACCGCCGTCCGATCCTCATCATCGGACGCTTCTGATTCGTCCGATTCGGACACGACGAAGTACGTCATGGTGGCGGTGGCCGTCACCTTGCCGCCGGCTCTTCAGCCGGCCCAGCCGCGCGCGTCGTGCGCGCTCATGCGCTCGGGAATGCTCGCACGCATCGGTGCTTCCGTTGTCCCCTCGAATTGAGGGCTTTGACACTATCTCCTGCCCACCGCGGTGGGGCGAGAGAATCCTATCCTTTCCGGCTCCCTCTTTGTCGAGTCGGACCGTTTGACGAGACCCTGTTTGACGATTCAGCTGCTGCTGTGTTTTGACTTTTTCTAGGCCGCCGCTGCTTGCGGAAAGATCGTCGGGAGTTTTGCTCGCCCCGCTTTCAAGGGTGCGTTCCGTCCTCCCGCGCCTCCGTTCCGTTTCTCAGTTCCGACTTCGTCCCTCCCGGGAGTCACCGCGCGCTGCACGTGCTTTTTGGCACGCGTTCTCCCTCTCCTCCACGGTGCGCACCGATTCGATCTTCCTAACATATACGCTCAGTTCGACTTCTTTTCTTACAAATTCTTCTGAAGGACTCTTCCCATTCCCTGTCACCCGTTCCGGTCCGCTTACCATCCCGCCCTTGTTCTCCAAATCTTCCTCCAACACTGGACTAAAGTTGGGTCCACGTCCGAAGCCCCACGGCCCCAGTCAGTCTCTTAATCAGTCTCGTTCCTGGAGGTGGCAGACGTCACCGCTTCCCTTTGTTGCGCCACCTTGTGTGGCTGACACGTGGAGCCGCCCCACGTCCTCTTGCAACCATTTCCGTTCTCGTTGGCGCCTCTTCCACGCTTGCTCTTTCTCTGACCTCCTTGTCTTCTTTTCCATTTCCAGCAACCCGCCCCTCCTTATCTCTCGAAAAAGACTCAAGGTCTCTTGGTCCTCTCTTCGACGTCAAATGTTTTTCATTCTTCCTGAGCATCTCAGTTGACCTTCTTTTCTCTGCTTGTACTTCTCGTCTCTCCTTCCACAGCTTCCATTGCGCTCTCAGCCCAGCAAACGCTGCCCACCACTGATACCCCGTCTGCATTCCAACGGCCACAATCTGAAGCCCCAGCATCCCCGCACTCAAACCCTCTCCTCTTCCGTCAAGGTTCCGATACCCGCGGGTCCGCTCCGGAACGCCTCCGCTCCGCTCGGCCAGATTGCGACGCCAAAATCAGCAGTAAGAACTTCGAGAAACCCCGTCGTCACCTCGACGCCTTGCAAGGCTTGGGTGACGTAAGGCTTTGCGATTACGAGCCAGGAGGGAAAGACTACTGACGTCATCAGGAGTGGCCCACTTGGTTTGAACCCGGCTCCGAGCCCGCCACGTGGCGCCTCCCTCCCCGCGAGAAGCGCCGCAAACACCACCGCTTCGTGAGGAGCGCGCCCACGTGGCACGTCCGCCTCACGAGCGCGCCCACGTGGCACGTCCGCAGCATCTGGACGAGCGCGCGCGCACCGTCCGCAACAGGCCAACCCAGTCTCGCCCCCAGCAGAAGTGGGTTCAGCCTTTGAGAACTCTGTCCAGATAATCCGGGCCGTTCGATCTTTTCTACACCGCTGTCGGACGCTTCAAAGCGTCCGATATCTGCCCCACTCCGCGAGCACGCGTTCACGAGTTGCGAACGCCCTTTCGTGCCGTCATGTGCAGTTGAAATCTTTCTTTTAAACAAGTGTTCTCCTCCAGTGCAGATAGGAAGACGAAAGGACTCGAAGAGGAGCCCGAACGCCTGACCAGACGTCCGTGCGTCCGGCGCGCGTCGGTCCACCGCCTGGCGCAGCGCGCGCCGAAGCAGGCGGCGGCGTCGCGGCCGCGCCACGTGAGCGCCGTCGGACAACCTCTGGACGGCTCGAAATGCGCCTCCGATCCCTGTGAACGAAGTCCGTGTCCCCCTAGGCGCACGGAGAGCGAAATCCTGGATCCGCTTTTGTTGAAGGAACAAGAGCGCACGGACCTCGGACCAATAAGCGAATTTTCTGTCAAAAACCCGGTGACGGATGTATAAAACTTGGTGCACAACCTGGTTGGAGCCGTGCTTGACTGAAGCTGCGAAAGTTGCATCGTGTTTGAGGCTGGTGCCTTCCGCTTTCCGCTCGACGTTGAAGGACGAGAAAGCTTTTTCTTGGACGCCAGCAGTTTCGGACGGCCACCTTAACTGTTGGGATGGATCATTCCGAGCTCCATTCTCGCTGCGACAGGCGAATTCTGTGGGTATTCGAGTCCGTCCCCACGGAATCGGGACTAAGAAGGGTACACGATGGCCGTGACAACAGGGATCCAGCTTACAGAATTAGTACTATTTCAAAGTACTAACGTATTCCGTGAGGGGGGAGAGTATGGCTTGCCAGGATATTGTGGGTTGCAAGGAAACCCAAGACTGCCACGATGGCGGAGCACGGAATGAGCAGAAGGAGTAGAGCGCCCACAAAGGCCTGTGCCATCGAGTGGCCAGCAGAAGGGAAGATAAATTTGAGTCGTTCAGGATCAGAAAAGACTTTCCAAGAAGGGCTGTAGTCTTAAGGAAATTAAAAAGGTGCGAGGAGAGGTGAGGCTAGAGGAATCTTGGAGCCACGTCACGTAAAGAAGTGGGCTTACTTTTTTTGTTATACTTATTATAGTATCTGTACGATCGTCTCACTTCACCCGCGTTCAAGTTGAGTAGCAGAGAAACGCACGACTGACTCTGCTCAAGATCACGTCGACCTCTGACAATAGTGCCAATACCGCATCCTTTAAGCACTGGTCTTCTTTCTTTGCTAAAACACGAGAACATTTCAGATGCGACTGCATGCGATCAAGACTAACTTGTTCTGTAGTAGTTGAATCCTTACAAGTGTCTTTTCCCCTTTGTGAGGACCTAAGTTTTTTGAATTCGCCTTGCAAAAAGCCATGCTTTTGAACCAGATTCCTGTGAGCAAAGGTTACCAATCTTCATCCTTTTTGTCCAAGGACCGTTTTATTGTGAACTTTAGCCGTAATATCACGTTGCAGATGCGATGCGCACGCTATATGTGGACACCGGATAGAAGCAGAACGCTCCCGCTTGGAGCTCAGCTCTCGCAAATAAAAGCAGGTCCGGCAAGCTTTGGTCGAGGATGCGCTTCCATACGTACGCCAACAAGGTCCGGACGACGGACGTCGCGGACAGGACGATGCAAACGCGTCTGAATATGAGCTCAAAGGGAGCCAACTGAGACAAGAGGAGAGAGGAAGATTTAGTTGGTTGCCGGAGACTCTGGGGGCTTGGAAAACCATGCTGAAATTTGGTGACAGGGTCAAGTCTGGATGCTTATGAAGTTTTATTCATAGTAGGCGTAAAGCTGTTCCCTGAAACCAGTTTTCGAATCGATTCAAGGTTGTATCGAGCTGAGTTTGTGAACAGACAATTAGACGAAGCAGGCAATTATGCGATGCTTATCGCTTTGAAACTCATATAATCGAGCCAGGTAACAAGCGAAAAAGTTCGATCCCCCCAGCGTATAAACCACGCTTTTCTTTGGAACCCACCATTGGAGATTAAATGCTTCAAGTCGCAAAGCAGCGTCAGATCATGCGGCGAACAGATAGTACCACTGTAGTCAAAGTTGCTAGCGATTTGGTGTCTCACAGATTTGGGATGATTGGAATGGCCCTCACTCTTCCGCTTGGCTGGTCGACACAAAGCTGGGTCGGGAGTGCCTGTTCCGGTTCCGTTCCCGTTCCGTTCTGCAAGAGACGCCTCCGGAAACCGGCACTGGAAGCCCACCTCGGTGTCGATGCAGGGGCAGCAGCGTAGGCGACCTCGAGTGACGTCATTGGACGGGTTTCCAGGTAAGCTGTTGTGGTCACAAATTTGATTTCTGTTGGAGGATACAAAAGAGCAGATGGGCAATTGAGAAGCGGCAATAACAGAATATATCACAAAGCTATCAATTGAAGGCGGGGAATAGAGCCGATTCTGTTACGAAGGTTCCTCATCCTGTGATCTGCTGACACCGAATATTTCTTATATGATTGAGCTTCATTTAATGATCTTTTTTAAGTCAACAGGAGACACGTAAAGCTTCCCAACTTTTTCTCCTCCACCCTCTTTGCATCGCTTCGGAGAACGCCGTGGGGAGCCATTCGTGACTCTTCGTTATTGAGCAGATGGTATGCCCTGATGACCGACCCTTTTGGAGATTGATTAAAAGCACGTTGAACCTTCAATTCTGCTTTCAGAAACTTCAGTCAATCTAGGCTACTCTGCCCAAAGTCCTTCAATTCACCAGATTCTGTGCGGAAGCAGCAAAACACCACGATTTGCCTCATGCATGACAAGCGATCTTTAAAAACGATTTCGTCAGAAGTTCCAACTTACTTAGGTCTAGCTACTTTTTCTGCATAAATCTTATCTCTCAGGCAGCATACCCACCAGCGTTGCGAGGCTTCCGGTCACTTCCTGGAACACGGCCGACTGGCCGATGGCCACCTTTGGGAACGAAGCGAACGTCTGCACCGTCCCGACTATTCCCAGTAGGTTGTCCCGGGCGGCGAAGCGCAATGTAAATGCGCCTGGGGCGGCGCTCGGTAGGCCGCCTGCACAGACACCAAGGAGGTCGCCCGTCTGAAGAAGTGTTGTGGGAAGAAGCGCCGCTAGAGAAATACCGGTGGTGCTTGCGAAGCCCCGGGAGACGATCCGCCCGCCGAGCGCGGCCGCGGCCGCGGCGCGCGAGGAGGGACCCGAAAGGAGGAGGCACAGAGTTCTGTTTCTTCGGTCTTGGATGGAGAAACGTATAAATTACGAGGCAAGCTCCTCCTGATCAGAGCAAAGAATTGGCTGCGGAAGAGAGGAGGTCGTCGCTTCTCGAGTGCATTCGAGCAGAACAGCTCCATGGTTTCGACGTCCTGTTTGTCCGTATTGAAGAATGTTTGACATCCTCCAGGACCAGAGTCCTTCGTATAGATCTTCCTTTGGCGGTTCATCAGCTGACTACTGAAAGCATCAAGCAGTCAGGATCCTGGTCACCGGCGGGCATCCAAGTTCGCGGACACGAACGAAATTTCAAGAGAAACTGTGAAGCTTTTGATATCTCTCATGTCATGCAGAAGAATCTAGACAGGTCCTGAAGCCTTAAATACTCCGTAATATAGAGCTCATCAACACAATTTCAAGTTCTTCTGTTCCGAGCTTGGCGGAGAGCTCAAGAAAACAAGGACGCTCGACTGAGGCTCTCCGCAAGATTATCCTCAGTACTTGGAGTTCCGCAACAAAGCCGCGAATTACAGTCACGGCAGAAGATCAACGCTGTGCCGTCGTCCTTCCCTACAAGATTTCACAGGGTTTCAGGACTCTAGATTTTCGAAAGGTGGACGATTCTGAGCTAATAATCTCCCTGGAAAGGAAGGCTTGCTTACTGAAGCTGATTCTCAAAATCACCGAAGCTGGATTTGGGTTCTCGGCGACGTCTCGAATCGCCCTCTCTTGCACCCCGACCGTTCTTTCCGTAAAGTCGGACTTCAGATCCCTCACAAGCGTTACATTATGAATCGAGGCCGTCGCCTTGAGGTGCTACCCTGGTTACGCTTCACCCGATGGGCGAAACCTAACCGGTCCCAAACACCGACCCGGTCCGGTTTGTGAAAACGTAAACCGGTTCACTGAACCGAATATCAACCAAATATGCACTGTCTGACTCGAGGCCGTAGAAGCTGTCCCTGGGGCTGCCACGGAGACCTGGGGACGCGTTATGTCGAACAGAAACTCAAAAGCGTCGGAACCGCTGTTTGGGCTGTCCAGACTGTCGGCACAGCTTCCGGGCAAAATCTGGACAGATACCATTCCGTTCCGCCCGAACGAAACGACGCGAAAGGAGAACGCGGTGCTCGGGGCGCTGTCCCCGGCACCTGCAATGCGTATCAAGGAAGACAGGTTGCTGACGTCAGTCAGAGAGTTCGAGCCGCTGGGCGACGCACGCGCGGCCGCGCTGGTCGAGCGACTCGCGACGAGGAGATGTTCCGCTTTGCCGCCCGTCACCAGAATTCCGCTCAGATTGAACCCGGTCACTTCGCAGCTAAAAGTAATCTTGAACGTAAGTGGCAAAGCGTTGGTGGCCCATGCTATGCTGCTGACGCCACCGGCTGATGTCACGTTGACGGGCGTTTACCCCACTGCGGCCAGCACCGCCTGCGGGGGTTTGGCTTGGAAGATAACGGACGCTTCCGCTGGAAAGTTCCCACTGCGTCTAAGCAGACCCCGAGGGGAACACTTCAATCAATCGGCCCATCGTGATCCCATTAAGAGAGCGATCTGGATCGTATAGGTACTGATACGGATCGGCATAGAAGAGGCTGTCCGGGTCAGGCACTGTGGCGCCGGTGACGATCACCTCGCATGACGTTGCGCTGACGCAGGTGAAGCCGTCCCTAGCAAGCCTTGCTGAGCTGGAGACAGTAACCGGGAACGGATTCCGCGGGATCGGCGAGTCGGGCCCGAGGATCTCGACAGCGGCGGTCCCAGGAGAAGGTCAGCGTAGCGGCGCCACCAAGCGCGTTTGTGAAGAGAACGGTCGCCACGTGGAGCCCCGCTTTGATGTTCGTAAACGCGGACGCGGCCAGGAAGGAGTTGCTGACGTCACCGCAGGGGTAGGAGGCCGAGCCGTCCAGCGAGCAGTACGCGTTCCAGCCGTTACAGTCCGCAGACGCCGCGTTGGCGCGCGCGGAAAAGATGACTGTTCCGCTGGGCGCGTTTCCGGCGGATTTGCCCACGACGAAAACGACGGGCGCCCGCTGTCCTCCGCTCAGCGGAACACTGCTTGCGTCAGCGCGCGGTTGCCGGCTTCGTCCAGCGGAACCACGATCACGACGTGGGCGGTAACCGAGTCCGCTAACCCCGAGTTTTGCTAAGATGACCGGGTTGGCGCAGGGCTGGAAGGGGTCCGAATCGAGAGGCGTTCCTGTGCACTGTCCGCAGTTGATTTGGAAACCGTTTGCCGTGTCCTTCGAAGGGAAAATGCAGAGAAGGAGAAGTGGTCGGTAGACGTTCCGGTCATGGAGGCGGGGCCGGACAGCATGGAGACCGCGGGCGTAAAAGTGTCAACAACCCACCTGCGAAGAGGAAAAGTCTGCGGTCTGCGGTGTGCGGGTAGTCTGACATTAATTGTGGGTAATGCAAATACGGAAAATGCTTTCACAAAAAGGTCCTTGATGCTTACGTCACAAGTCACTGTCAACTGCGTCCTATCTTAGACAACTGAGTATCGTCCCGCGGTATGAGTAGAGCGATGGTGAAGAAACATCATTTTTTCTGTCTCAATCGGAAACAGGTGGACTTTGTATGGAGGACTCGGCTTTGACGACCTAATGACGACGCACGACCTCGTCTCAGCTCAAAGCTTGAAGGCTTCAAATCTTGAGGCTTGGATACTCTACGGATCCTTAGAAACGCAGAGAAAACGAGTCTTAGGTCCCACAGCATAGGGAAGTGCTCGGATCTCAGATCTCTCCTGGTATACAACGCTCTCCCTTCTCCAGCCGTGAATTTTCGGTTCCAGAACAGTCTCGAGCTCGAATCAACTTAGAAGAAGCAGAGAAAGGCACTGTTGGATCGGCATCCCACGCGCTCACTCGTACCCGTGCAGCTGAAAGGACCGGGAGCGGCAGGGCTGCGGCGTCTTTAGGCCGTCGATTTCACTGGGAGGTGCGAACGCACGAGCAACACCCCACTCACTGCAGGCTATTGTACTCGAGGACTACTGTTGTCTGACTCCGCTTTTCTCTAAGGCGAGTCATTGGGTTCTCACGGTATTTATACCTAAGCAGCTAAGCAGGCCTCCGTGTACCTACCGAAGTAGTACCGAGTCCGCAGGGGTAGACGCTCACGCTAGGAGGATTAACGCTTTGATTCTTCAAGCTCTTCTTGCACCTATAACCCCGTACCTACCTGAAGTCATCTCGGATAGCTCTCTCTCCAGTGACGAGCCTGAGGCCGGCTTCGAGATCTCAAAAGCGGCTGAGGGAGGAATTCTAAGTTAGTAGAATTCCAAGTAGAAAGGTTAGAAGAGTACACGTAAGGCCACCGCATGCCAGCTCTACCTTCAGAGCTACAGCCCGGCTCTGATACAGCTTGAGCAAGTTTCAAATGTCATGGGACCATGCAGGCTGGTGCCCCGGCTGGCGAAGTTGATACAGCTAACTTAATTTAGCTAGAATTTGAGAATTCATAGAAAGTCCTTCCCCTTGGCTGCAAGCTTATACAGCTGACTACGTACTCGGCTCAAAGACGAAGCCGATTGATCCGTTCTAGTCAAAAGACGATGCTTATAGAGGTTGGCCAGTTAGTATGAAGGCACTACCGGGCCCTAGCTCTGAGCTTCTACATTGCTTGGAAGTACGACATACAAAGTCCTGATCTGGTTCACGTAAAAGTCATGCACCCAGGCTGGACCTGAAAACTTTTATGCATATCTCAGTAGCTTCATTGCATGTACTAGATTGAAGTGGCTTGCGTACTTCCTTTTCGACGACTGCATCCATCTCACGCTTGATTCTAACTACCACAAACACGCTTGTTCTCAGCTTCAGCACGGACTATAGCTTAGGTAGGTCTGGTGGTAGCCCTTATGACCGCTCAAAACCGTCTACCGTCGTCACGGCCACGCGTATATCCAAGGTTCACTTATATCAAAGGTACAGACTGCAAGGCAGAGTCTTGTCGGGCACAGTGCACGCAAGGACGCCAGGCTGACGTCCCCTAGTGCGCATTGGGCACAATATTTAACCAGGACACAACCGCCCGCAATTTCATAACACTAGTTCCTTTGATTCCAAAATGGTTACAG